AAATGTTGCAGCCACAATCTGCATTTCAATCTCTTGCCCACACAATCCAACGTTAATCCAGAACCACAACTCCTCTTCTGTTAGCTTGCAACTTAGAAAGGGACAGATAATTCAATATTTCCTTGAAAATAACAGCCGCATATGGACATAATGAGAATCCTCTAGATCGTAAAGTTGAAGAGGAAAGACTAAACAAGCTGCAAGATACCATTGCAGCTTCAACTTAGAAGAAGAAAGCCAAAACAAGATGTAAGGTGCCTCTACACCCCAGATGATACAAAAACAAAACACTACATGTGAAGTACAGAAACACAATTTTTTTTTTTTTTTAGATGACAATGAAAAAAAACCGAGGTGTTTCGATGCATACTTTCATCAATATTTGCACTGACATTGACTAATAACTCAGTCATTGTCACATAGACTTTTGCAAAATAAATTAAATGCCATCCACCGGTTGTCCGTTCAACCACATCTGCTTCACCCATCCACTTGTTTGCACTCTTCCACAGGTTCCATGCGAGTTTAGAGATGGAAATGCCTTCACTGTGATTCTCCGCAGGTGGAGCAACTCCGTCTCATTTATACAAACTTGGGCTGCCTATGAAAATGGATTTGGCCACCCACAGGACAATTACTGGGCCGGGCTGGCCAATATTTACATCCTGACTCTGCACGGTTAGTATCCCATAATGCATACATAATATGTTGCCACTTTAGCATTCTGTTTATCTCATTCATGTTAATCAAGTTCCTTGCTGGGCGATGTGGGTGACTGTCTCTCCACATCTTTCAGATATTTCAGATATAAGTTTGTATCCTGACACTGTTCACAACCTTGACAAAATACTTTGAAGTCTTTTCTTGTTTCTTTGTCTCCCTGTGTGTCTTTCATAAATCTTTCCAGTATTTCTCATCTCATAATGTGGTCAGACAACGAATTGTGCTTCTTTCTGATGTCTGCAACAAGTTAGCTTCACATCTTTGCTGCTGTGATAATATCTGGGTTAATTATTTCAGGGTCTAAGGAAAATTCATTTATTTTTTATAGAATCACATCTCCGAGACTTGAAAGCGTTTTTGTGCTTATTTACTAACTGTGGACTATTCACATCCATTTGATAAAACTGGCTCTGTGTAGCGTGAAAACATTCTTATCCTAACAGTTATGACAGGGATTTATTACCCAAGATGTTTCGCACTTAATAGACTGCAGTTTTTTGTGGATTTGTTTGCATGTCCCAGTGCATGTACTTATTTGACCTTGATGGATTACAGTTTATTATCGTTGTGTGACATATTTAGGTGTTTGATAGTTTTGTCACCCATCTACTGAGTTGAGTAAATGGCATGACACAGAGAGCTGTGGATTTAATTTGGAATGCTTTCCAGTTGTGCCCAATGGGGTTTGTGTTGTGAAATGAAGTTTCAGAAAATAGTGAGTGGCTTTTTGCCACAGAACTGCTGGTGCCTTATGAGATTAATCGCAGGTGCAACTACGAATCTGTTGTAACTGCTGCTTCCATTGGTGATTAACTGCATTTCTAGTGTCGGACTTCTTGTGCTGGTACTTCTGACAGCTGCCTTATGTTTTTAATATGTGTGTATGCTATTGTATGTGCAGAGACTGCAGTCTATGCCAATTTTGTCACAAGAGACAGCGAAGGACATTCTGTGTGGTTCTTGTTGGTACAATATTGCTGCAGTTATGGGGGGTGACCTGTCTGCTACGACACAAAACCTGGTATAATCTTCACTACACCCAAGCCCAGCTCTCTAGCCTAGTTGGCTAAACCGGATTGCGCGGTGACCGGGTGACGAACTCCTTGTGGTCCAAGTTCACTCCCGGGGTAGGCAGAAAAGCCACATTTCTCCCAGATTTACGGTATTTACAATGGAATCAAGGCCGAAAGGTTGCGATATCCATAATACCGAGCCTAAGAGTTAACAACTCATGGCTTCTGGATACTAAAACAAACAACACTACACCCAGACTCAGAAACCAGGTGGTTGTTCCTTATGGAAACTGATGCCTGTGAAGAAGCATTTTAGAAAGCCATACTAGGATACGAGGTCATAACCAAGTTCATCGCATAAGCTGGCTGATGTTCTCTCTGGTTTGGTCATGTCTCCTCCACAGTGTCTTAGGTATATCATTGTCAGTCAGCTTCAACACCTGTCAATCTGTCAGTACTAAACAGTGCCCCATATGACTAGATTTTACCTGTCCAATGTTGAACTGAAGAATTGACATTACAGCATACGGGACAAACCCATAAGCACTCTATGCCCATCTTCAGCAGCAAGTGTAGAGTTGAAACTCCGACAGTGCCAGTAACAGTCTGACTGTATGTCCGTCTCACCTCTCCCATAATTGTTGAGCTTCAGCCAGATCTCTGGTCACCCATCACAGCAGCATTCTCCTCAGACTGTGATGGTCTATTTGTACCTCCGCACTGTTCACTTGTTTCCAAGGAAACCTTACACCATCTGGTTTGTCATGCATCAGTTTACCACCGATTGGTGCAGAACCAACCAGTCTGTCTGTTTTTTTTTCCAACACACCAGCATAACCTGGAGAAAATATCCAAAAGTCACTAATTATTACACGTCACCAGTCAAAATGTTATGTATATCTGTACGACTCATATCTATACAAATTCATATCTGTACAACTCATGTTTGTACAACTCATATTTAGTCAGGACTTTCATTAAAACCTCCACAAAACCAGTGTTTCCTATGATATAGCTTTGATCTTGGGCCCCTGTGGATGAAGTATACATATAATTTTGATGCTATCATTATTGCCTTTAATGGATATCTGTGGATGAAAAGTTTATGGATAAATGGAATTAGTTTTTAGAGGGCATGAAGAAGACCTTGTGTCAATCGTACTTTAATATTACTTAAATATTTTTTTTAAACTTTTTTACTTGCACCTGCCTCAAGGAAACACCAATCTTCAGATAAACATGCAGGACTGGAATGGACACAGTGAAAATGCTGTCTACTCACGGTTCTACCTGGAGCCACGGCCGACCAGGTACCGGATGCATGTTGGGTCATACCGAGGTGGGTTCTTTAGCTGAGTATTTGTATAGTTAACTGTTGCACAATTGTTGAATTCAAGAACAACAAATGAAATGGTTTGGCCACCTGATTAAAATGCCCTGGTACCAACTGCCACAGAGAGCCACGCTGAAGAAATAAAATGAACACAGAGCAAGGGGAAGACCACGCAAGAATTGGAGCGACATCATCAGGAGCAACCTAACAGAAATAAACATCAATGTACAATGCATTGGAAAAAGTGCACAAACGATCCTGACATCACCTGCCAAACACCACGCTGAGGTAAATGTTGGAAAAAAAGAAAAGAAGAATTTTTGCTCATTCGACCATACAAAGATATGTTCTTTTGTTCTGCTTATATGTGTGTGTATATGCATAAACATACGTAGGGGGAACTGATATCTGTAGGTAAGTGCACACACGTAAATGTTCATTAGTTGTGAATGTGTGCTCTCCGTGCTGGTTCTGAGGCTCCTTTGGGGGGGAAACAAGAATACTTCACTGCCCCCCCCCCCCCCCCACCCCCCAACAAGCATGCCGTAAAAGTCGACCAAGTGGGACATCCTTCGAAGCTGGAGTGCATCTGGCCGAGAGTCGATGAAACAACAGTCTGCATACAAATAAGCCAGCTCTGTAAAACAGATGTGCACACAAAACTCAAGTTCTGGAACAAGACCAGTGTCAAGAAGTGGATGAACAACCAGAACTTTCTCCTGCAGTTTACAGCCGCAAACACCAAGAAGAAGAAGATAAATACATACAGTTAAATTTTTTTTTTTTTAATAGAATTTTTGTGTATAATTTAAACAAGTCACAGGAATATAAATACTTGTGCTAAATTTTAACATTTCTATATAATGTAAATATTTGTAAACATGAGGATAAAGGATACATGCCCAAAGAAAATGAATTCTTGGATTTATTTGAGCGTCCAAACCGGCCAGCTGACAAATGTTTTTTCTTCTGTTACCTACAGGTAGTTTACCGGATGAGTTGTCCTTCCATAACAACATGCCCTTTTCCACGTTTGATGCCCCAGATCCTCACGGTAAACATGTTTCTATGGCTGGCTCATTTCATCATCATGTGCTACAGAGGTAGCAATAGTAGTAGTTATAATAGTAGCAGCAGTAGTAGTAGTAGTTACTAGTAGTAGTTATAATAGTAGCAGCAGTAGTACTAGAAGTAGTGGTAGTAGTTACTAGTAGTAGTTATAATAGTAGCAGCAGTAGTACTAGAAGTAGTGGTAGTAGTTACTAGTAGTAGTTATAATAGTAGCGGTAGTAGTACTAGAAGAAGTAGTAGTAGTTACTAATAGTAGTTACTAGTAGTAGTTATAATAGTAGCAGCAGTAGTACTAGAAGAAGTGGTAGTAGTTACTAGTAGTAGTTATAATAGTAGCGGTACTAGAAGTAGTAGTAGTAGTTACTAATAGTAGTTACTAGTATTAGTTTTAATAGTAGTAGTACTAGAAGTAGTAGTAGTTACTAATAGTAGTTACTAGTATTAGTTATAATAGTAGCAGTACTAGAAGTAGTAGTAGTAGTTACTAGTAGTAGTTATAATAGTATTAGTAGTAGTTACTAGTAGTAGTTATAATAGTAGCAGTAGCAGTACTAGAAGTAGTTACTAATAGTAGTTACTAGTAGTAGTAGTAGTAATAGTTTAGAAGTAGTAGCAGCAGTAGTAAGTAGTAGTAGTTAGTAGCAGTAGCAGCAGCAGCAGTAGTAGTTGTTAGTAAGTAGCAGGATGAGGTGGAGTAGAAGTAGAACCTACAGCAATAATAACAGCTAGAAACTCCCACACACACACACATATATATACATTGTTGTTTTGATTGTTGCCAGGTTGTGCAGCCAACATGAAGGCTGGCTGGTGGTACAACTATTGTGCCTATACCCTCCCAACTGGCATCTACTACACTGGTGGCTGGTACACCCCGAGTGGTAGCATGTACGACGGAATCTTCTGGAAGGACTGGTATGGCTACAACTATTCCCTCAAGTTCATCTCCATGACGTTGTCTTCCTAAAATATGTTTCCACCAGACCTTTACAAAATTTCTTTTTAAATATTTTTGTTACATTTATATACTATTTTCAGAATTAATTGTTTAAATATTTCAGATTTTAATGTAAAGATATCAGAATTCACTTGAATTAGACAAAAATACCAGAAGCCACTTTAAACAGCCTGTAGGTGGATAAACAGCCTGTAGGTTGATAAACAGCCTGTTGGTGGATATTTTTGTATTTTTTGTTCTGCGCAAAATTTAATTATGACAAGTAGGTAATTGGGGTAGAGTTGAGCTAGTGACTTTCTATATGTTTTACAATCTTCCTGGGGGGGGGGGGGGGGGGGGGGTGTATATGTATATATTTGTAATTCTTGCAATAGAAGTTGATCTGGTGGAAGAAATGAAACACAAGAAGAACTTAGTCTTCGACGTAGAATCATCTTAACAGGTTAGATCTGATCAACCACTCTGCACGCAGTTGCCTTAAATGGGTTCTCTAGGGGGAAGCACCTGTAGATCAAGGGATAGAGAAGACACCACACAAATAAGGTTGTATCATATTCCACGAAACCAACTAGGACGGCTAACTCAGTCTACAAATTGCCCAGTGAAATCAGATGTCGGCCGAAAGATGCAAATATCGCAGCTTTGCTGTAAACATGCACAAAGGCAATTGTGTCACTCGGGTGAGCGATGAAGAAGAAGAAGAATATGAAGATAAAAACCAGCTGTGAACACATTCCTGCCATGTTTAGTGACTGAGTGGACACAAGGCCGTTATATTTTCTAGGCCAGAACACAGATTCAGTCAACTGCAGCACCTGCCACATATTTTGTACACTTGTGGGGGGGGGGGGGGTCTCCTTGGCCAAGTGGTCAATCTGTTTGCCTCACGCTCTAAATGTTGAAGGTTCATTTTACGGCTGTGTTGTTCAATTCACGAGTGCAGTTTTTACAGAGATCCCTGGGGATTGTCGCCGGAGCTATGGGGTTAATGCTCTGTGTGGCACTCTCAGCAGGCAGTCAGCCATTCTGTGGAGATAGACTGAGACAGATGGGATAAAACCCAGTGCAATTAAATTGATGCTTTAACTATTATAATTTTGTACATTATTGAACCTCAGATGAAAGAACGTATAGAGAAATCAACATACGATGTGCAAAAGCAAATCAGGTTATGGGACAATTTACACCCCATAACCCATAGAAAGATACCTCAACCAAAGCAAATCTCATAAGAACAGTTTTTTGGCCGTCATTGCCAAACATGGACCATCATTACTACAACTAATGGGCGGAAGATTGTAACAAAAGAGATGAGATGTCTTAGGAGAGCTGTTGGTGGGACAAGAAAAGATGCAACCAAGAATGAAGAAATTGGAAGACTAGGTCAGAAACCTGTCAGACAACTCATTAAAGAACACCGAATGAGATGGTTTGGCCACATGACAAGAATGTCCTGGTACTAACTGCCACAGAGAGCCAGAAATATAATGAACACAGAGCAAGGGGAAGACCACACAACAGATGGAGCGATACCATCAGGAGCAACAGAACAGAAATGAACACCAGCTTGTACAATAAATAAATACATATATATATATATATATATATATATATATATATATATATATATATATATATATATATATATATATATATATATATATATATATATATATATATATATATATATATATATATATATATATATATATATATATATATATATATATAAGAAATCTCAGTGGAATGATCTACCAGAAAGAACAATAAAATAGTGTGACATAAACAGTGTCCAGTCAGGAATGACCACTGGCCAGACTTCAGGTCACTGCTGTAGGTCATCATTGCACCAAAGATGAATACGGGCCTAGTAAACTCATGCAAGCATTGACCGGTTGGCCTTGGGTCAATAATTGTCTTCTTGGTACAAAGAATGAACGAACGTCTCCTCTTCTCAGTCCTTGTCGATTCTTCTGGAGCTTTCCACTGGCACAGTTCTACACACAATAAAACAATCACTGCCCGAAGTAAACAGAGTTAATATCCCTGATGATGTTGTAGCTTCAGTTGTCTTCTAAGGCATGTGACCCAGTGTCACAACTGGCAGGGCTGGTAAGGACACTGGCAAATAGGATATTGGGTTTACCTGGGTAAGGTATTAAGGGATGATGGGTTGGGTTCGTGGCTTTTGTTGCGGGATCTTTCACGTTGATGCAGATACAACATATCCCAGTTAAATCAGCAGTTCACTGAATCATAGCTCACACATCCCATGCTCTTTTGAAGTTTCCGGGGGAAACGGTGACTTTTAAACAAGATATGAAAGTAAGTTGACAGTGCAGGTGTCAGAATGTAAGCTGACCTGGGGCGACCAAATTCAAAACTTGCCCGAGCCAGGAGCTGAAAGGATTCATTCTGCGTAACAAGCGGTAGTTCGGCCCATGGAAAAAGGTTTTGCTAGAAATCATTTACCTGTGAGTGAATTGATAACATAACTCACTGCCAGTAGATTTTGGGATTGAACCAGGTTGTTTGACCTATATCCTGACCAAAACTTACCAAAGAAAGACTACATGCTTATGGACAAATAGTCCATATTTCAATACAGATAATTTGCAGAGAGGTGTTTAGGATGGTGGCCAACCTAACACAGAGAGCTGTTTAGGATGTTGGCGAACCGAACACAAAGGGGTGTTCTGACTGGTTATGTGATACCCCCCAATTTTTTCCCAACACCTCGCTAAGGTAAATGGTGGAAGAGACGAGAGAGAGACATTACTGTAGCCAGGTTTTGTGATGGACCAGATGTATATTTTATGTTCCTCTTGCCCATTCTCTGACGGTTGCGTGTCCAGCAGATCTCTTGGTCTTGTCACCATTTTCCAATTTACCCACATTTCAGGATCCTCAAGACATAATTTAATTGCACTTGTCCAACTATTGTCTAGAATTTGTGTGTAGATTATCTGATCTTAAATGTTCTTATACAAAATAGAACAAATTTTAAAGGCATTATTTAATTTTGCTTGTTTAACTATTGTCCAGAATTCTTCTGTAGATTATCTGATCTTAAATGTTTTTATACAAAATGGAACACATCTGCCGAGATCTGCATCAAGTATACCCCCCTGATTTTGGTTCTGTCCAATGATTGCTGTCAGGTGATTTACATGGATATATTTCCTGTACCAATTTTTTTTATCAAGAAAAGAATGTTTTTAAATATGTAACACATGTGATTGTCATCATTATCATTGCATTCCATCATCAAGTGCCTTGCAAAGATGATTATGCTTGTCCACATCCCAAACCCACCAACATATGTCAGGCTAGGGTCAGGGTTGGTGTACGGTCAAGGTTGGTGTACGGTTAGGGCCAGAGTTGATGTAAGGTCAAGGTTAGCATCATTGTTAATGTTAGGGTTGGGGTTGGTGTAAGGTCAAGGTTGGTGTAAGGTTAGGGCCGGAGTTGATGTAAGGTCAAGGTTAGCATCATTGTTAGGGTCGGGGTTGGTGTAAGGTCAGGGTTAGGGTGCTGGCCATTTTTCATGCTGTGACAAAAGTAGGTCAAAAATCTTTTCTCATTGTCATCTCCAGGAGTTTATTCTAGAAAATGCCTGTACTCAGCCACAGAGTGTCTCTAAATAGGGGCCAGTACTGTGCACCATTGCTTACCTCCAGGGTGAAAAAGGGGGCAGGTTAAATGTTGTCTGTGTCAGTCAACCTCATTGTGTAAGTTGTCTACATATCTGTCAGCCTCTTTTAAACACTTCAACTCCTTTTGGGTATTCAAGGAATACTTGACATCACACTGGACAGTTAAAGTTACAATAAAATGCACAAGCTTCATTCTCCCCCCTCCCTTCCTCCTTAAAGCAATGGTATTTTTACTTGAGTATTTGTGTAAAATGTAATTCGCTTGCTGCTGCTAAAAATTAAATATACGAACCGTTTGTTTGCCCTGTTTACATATTTTGGGATATCTTTTAACTGTTGATTCAATTTATATTATAACTGTTGCAATCTGTGCTTGATTCCTGCAAAATGTTTACTTTGAAGTCTATTTTGTGGTTGTTTGACAAAGAAAGCAAGAGTTAACATTTGATTGTCTAGTTACTGAGGTTAGTTTTGGTGTTATAATCTCACTGACAAATGCAGAACGTGACTGGCAGGATGTTGAATTCATGATGAACAAACTGGCATGTTCGTTGTGCAGGTTTGGGGTCCTACTTTGGAGGAAACAAGAATACACCCACTACATCTGCTACACCCACTACATCTGCTACACCCACTACATCTGCTACACCCACTACATCTGCTACACCCACTACATCTGCTACACTCACTACATCTGCTACACCCACTACATCTGCTACACTCACTACATCTGCTACACCCACTACATCTGCTACACCCACTACATCTGCTACACCCACTACATCTGCTACACTCACTACATCTGCTACACTCACTACATCTGCTACACTCACTACATCTGCTACACTCACTACATCTGCTACTCACTACATCTGCTACACCCACTACATCTGCTACACTCACTACATCTGCTACACTCACTACATCTGCTACACTCACTACATCTGCTACACCCACTACATCTGCTACACCCACTACATCTGCTACACCCACTACATCTGCTACACTCCCCACTACATCTGCTACACTCCCCACTACATCTGCTACACTCCCCACTACATCTGCTACACTCACTACATCTGCTACACTCACTACATCCGCTACACCCACTACACCCACTACATCCGCTACACCCACTACATCTGCTACACTCACTACATCTGCTACACTCACTACATCTGCTACACTCACTACATCTGCTACACCCACTACATCTGCTACACCCACTAAATCTGCTACACCCACTACATCTGCTACACCCCCCCACTACATCTGCTACACCCCCCCACTACATCTGCTACACCCCCACTACATCTGCTACACCCCCACTACATCTGCTACACTCCCCACTAC